CATGCGGGCGAGATACTCTCGGTAGCTTTCCGGGCTTTCCGAGAGGGGCGGAGGAATCGAACTTGGGTCAACCGTGTCAGCTGCATGCAAGGCAAATGCCCTACCCGCTGTGCCATCGCTCCAGCCATAGTGCGCTTAAATAATTGTCCTGCCTACTGACATCATAGGCTGGTCATTCCGTTCTCATCCCTGTCACCCATGCTCCAGACCACAGGCTGTGCCCTGCTCAGGCCTGCAGAAGGCTGTGGGTGTTCACACCATTTACCCAAGGACATAGTCGGTTCTGTGGTGTCTGTGCCATGCGGGAGGTCTGGGCAGCAGGGAAGAGGCCACTCATAGTCAACACTGTCCAGCAGATGTCACCCCCAGGATCTGGATCTCCCTCAGCCCCAGTTTCCCTGCCACACTGTCCTGGTCTGCATTCACCTGCTCAGCTTCGTCTGCCAGCTCAGCTGGGTGTCAGGGTATCTGTGGGTGCTGCCCACGTCTTTTGAGGCATTCCCAGAGCATGATCCACTTGTTAATGCAGTGACCAGGGGCCAGGAACTTCTTCCTGAAGTGGTGTCTCCTCCTCAACCCGACAGAGGTGCTGCAGTTTCCTCAGCCCCCATAGGAAGGAGGGATGCTGGGGTACAGGAGTCTGTTCACGCCTCCCTCTGATCCTGCTCTAACCCCCTGCGCTGCATACGCTCCACACGTGCTGCTGGATAAGGCCCCCAAAACAAAGCAAACCGAAACTCAAAGGGAAGGAAACTAAGGGTTCAGAACAAAGTGATTGTATGAGTTCACCTGGGAAATGGGTTGAACTCTGCCTGTTCTCAAACAAATCAACGCCCCAGGATTCCCTGTGTGTGCTTGCAGCTCCTTGAGAGGGTTCCCATTTAGAATGTGGGTGTATGGCTTTATGACGCCCTTTCACTCCTCTGTCTGCCCAGCCTTCCTTTTGCCACGCTTGGCAGTGCTCAAGCTCACTCCTAGCTCTCTTAGGGGTCTCTCCCGGTGGTGCCTGGAAGGTCAAACTGGGGTCATCAGGGCAAGGTCCTTAACTCATGCAGCGTGTTCCAGCCCTGAAAGCTCAGTGTTCCAAAGTGGAATGCTCAGATGACGCTATCACCTAACTTGCAGTTTCATTCCCAGCCGGCAAACTGGGTGTTGGGCACAGGACCCCCTGGGCTCGGGAGTCTCAGCTGTGGGCCTTTAGATTTCAGGCCTCCCTAGTCTTGGGACAGGTGTCTTGGTGACTTTGGTGTATGAGAGACTGTGGACTAAAGTACCAATTTTAGTCTGGTTCTTTCTAATGAAACCTTTCAGTTGTGTTGAGAAAGGGTTTTTTTGGGGGGGTGGGGGATGCCCAAGAGGACTTAGAAAAACCTGTCAAGACTCTGTCTTCCTGGCCCTAGGAGAATAGTAATCTAATGCTGTGTTCGGGATATTGTAGAATAGGTCTATGAAAGTATTCCAATTAAACTCCGAATGAGCCCAGCACGTGGTAAATACTGGACACATTATTATTCTTATTTTTCCTTAATGGAAAAGGCTGTGAAGTGGAGTTCCTTTAACTGTGTTAAATTTCCCGATTGTAATGAAACTACCTCCCTTTGCTCCGCTCCATGGAAAGGATGCCTTTTTAGGGACCAGATTTGCTTTGTTCTGTTTTTTTTTTTCTTTTTGGGTCATACCCAGCAATGCTTAGGGGTTACTCCTGGCTCTGCACTCAGGAATTACTCCTGGCGGTGCCTGGGGGACCATATAGGATGCCGAAGATCAATCCTGGGTCAGCTGCGTGCAAAGCAAATGCCCTACCCACTGTACTATCGCTCCGGCCCTTGCATTGTTTTTTATTTTATTATTTTTTTTTTTTTTTGGGGTCATATCTGACAGTGCTCAGGGTTTTTTTTCCTGGCTCTGCACTCAGGAATTACTCCTGGCGGTGCTTGGGGGAGGACCACATAAGATTCCAGGGATTGAAACTTGGTTGGCCTTGTGTAAGGCAAATGTCCTACAGGCTGTACTATCGCTCCAGCCCACTTGCTTTGTTCTTTAGAACTCACATTCGGGGCCTGTAAGTAGGTCAGGGCTAGCGGAGGTCCTCTGCATGTGGAGGCCCTGATTCGGTCCCCAGCACTGCCTCATCCTGCCTGTATGGCCCTAAAACAAAACCACCATGTGAAAAAGCTCCGAGTCATCCTCAGATCTATTGACCAAGTTCTGTGGGTAAAGGGGCAGGTCAGATGAGCCCAGAGCTTCATGTGTGGCCAAGTTAGTGCCGTTACCCCTTTCTTGGTGCTCAGTTGCTGTCTCTCGCCCCCATAGGGTCGGGATCAGAGCCGAACCCTTACCTCAGCTGCCAGGCATGAGACCAGCACAGAGAAGAGAAGCAGCCAGCAGCCTGGGCTCACCCAGGTGTCGTTTGCTGTCACTCATGCCCACACAGGGAGAGCCACTGGGGCTGGTGAGTCGCCTCCAGGGAGCGCCCTTGTGTGTTGGCTTCCGCAGCCCTCGCTGCAGGACTCTGCTCTGTGCTGTGCCACATGTTGGTGTGACATGTGAGCCTGAGCAACGCTGATGGCTGCAGACAAAATGGGGTGGGGAGGGGTGGCTCATGTCTGTCTAATTCTGAATTCTTCCTTTCTATGGCACACTGATGTTTGCTGTGCGTTTGCTTTAGAGGTAGTCCTCTTGTACATAACACATTGTTCTATGGGAGCTCCTTTCGTTTTTAGTGTACAGATGCTTTTCTCAAAGAAAAGCAGGGGCTGGAGAGATAGTACAGTGGTTAAGGCATTTGCCTTGCATGCTGCCACATGGGTTAGATCCTTGGCATCCCATATGGCACCCTGAGAATCACCAGGAGTGACCCCAGATGCAGAGCCAGGAGTAAGCCCTGAGTACTGCCAGGTGGCGCATGCATGCATACACACACACACACACACACACACACACACACACCCAAAAAAAAAAAGGAAGAAAGAAAGAAGGAAAAGAAAAGAAAAAGGAAATCAGGAAAATACTTTTTTTTAAAATGATTTTTTGGTCACACCTGGAGATGCACAGTGGTTACTCCTGGCTCCTGCACTCAGGAATTACTCCAGGTGGTGCTCAGAATCGAACCTGGGTCGGCTGTGTGCAAGGCAAATGCCCTACCCTCTGTGCGATCACTCCAGCCCCAAGAAAATATTTTAAAAGCAACATCTCTGCCATTTAAGTACATTAAATGGCATGATGCAGAGATTCACGAATGAATCTCGCAACCTAGCAGCTCGCCCAGAGATATTCTGGACCTTGTGCCAGGTCGATTCCACCGGGTGCCTCATATGGAACAGGCGTCATCCCTCCACCTCCAGAACCCAGTGAAAAACCCAGGTATGCCAGACCAGTGACTGAAAACTCCAGGCTTCAAGGGATTGGGGCTGGGCCGCTCCTTCCCATCTCCCCACCCTTTCGGGGTCCTGGCTGTCATGCCCACAAAAACTGCCGGGTGCCATTTAAACACATTAACGACCATGATCCTGAGACTCACGGCTGAATCTCAGAACTGAGAAGCTTGCTGCAGAGATGTCTCCAGACCCCAATTACTTAAAATTTTAGAATTCCAGCAGTGACATCTCATGCTATTCATAACAAGCAATACAAAATAAATACAAAATAAATTATCTTACCATCTGCCTGTGGGGCAGGCTTGAGTGGTGGTGGGAAAATTCGAAATAATGGGAGTGGGAAGATGTAATCGTGGTGGGATTGGTGTTGAAATATTGAATGTAATCAATTATTGTGAACAACTTTATTAAAAATAAAATTAACTGGGTGGCAAAAAAAAAGCGCTGCATCTCCTGAGACCAGCAATATACATCAGGTGCCCAGCACATGGCTGACTCAGGTTCAATCTCTGGCTCACCATGTGGTCCCTCAAGCACCTCTAGAAGTGATCCCTGAGCACAAAGCCAGGAATAACCCATGAGCACTGGCAGGTGTAGTCCCGCCCCCCGCCCCAGGAGAGGAACCCACAAAAGTAACTTGTCTGCTCCTCACTGCAGGGGAGAAACTCAAAGGGATGGGAAAGCCTCAGCAAAATAAACTGCCACAGTTCCCACCTGAAACAGATTGAATTAGGGGGCTGAAGCAATAACACAGAAGGTAGGGTGTTTGCCTTGCACGCAGCCGACCTGAGTTTGACTCCCACCATCTCATATGTTCCCCTGAGCTACCACGAGGAGTGATTCCTGAGTGCAGAGCCAGGAGTAATCCCTGTGCATTGCCGGGTGTGACCCAAAAAGCAAAAAAAAGGAAAGAAGAAACAGATTCAATTAGAGAAAAGGGTACTGAGGAAAAACAGAGAGACACTCTCCTCTAGAAAGACAGGAGGGCGGCCTGACACGTGGGGGGAGTTGGCTGCTTATTTACCACCAGAGCCATAAGACCGCACCTGCACTCACACCAAACAGTAGGGATGGAAGCTGGCACAGAGCGGAAGTGGGGGTCGGCAGCGTGGCGGACAGCAGGGGTTGTGATGGGCATGAAACCCCACCATGAACAGTGTTGCTCATCACAGCCCCTCAATAGAAACCAAAAGGGAAAAAAAAGATGTGAATTCAGAGTAAAGCTGTTCTGATGAAATATTCAAAGGAGCTGCCAGAGGTTCTCTGCATTGTCCTGACTGGACATTTGTGATGATGGTCAGGTGAGCACTGCTGTTACTACAGGTCAGGCGACAGAAAGCCTCTGAGGCGCGGACAGTTGTCCTTTGTCTTATCCAGCAATCTGCTGGGCTGGGGGAGCTTCAGTCCCGGGGGCCCTTTGGGGGACCCTGTGATGCCGGAATTGGGCTGGGGCTGCCTGTGTGCGACAGTGCTGTCTCGGCCTGTGGAAATGCTGAGATGTGATGTGTTTCCCTCAGTCTTTGCAAGCAGAAGATTTCCAGGATCAGCCAGAATCCTGTCGAGAGTTCTTAGCAATTATGTGAAAACCACGAATAACTGCTTTCTTCACATTTTCTCTTGCAGATAGCAATGGTCTTCAAAATGAAGACTCTGGAAAATTTTAGGTTCTTTATAGGAACTACAAACATGAAAGGAAAGACAATTTTCAGAAAAAAATTTTTTTAAAAGTTTGTTTACAACTGACACTATTGACATTTAAAAAAAAATTAAAGAAGATTGTATTTATGGTGAAAGTGAACTGGACTAACAATGAGGCCAAAGACTTTTCCTGCCACGACTTACTCTGGAAACAGCCGGCAGCGCTTGCAGGAGATTCGAGAAGGCTTGAAGCAGCCGTCCAAGGCCTCGGCGCAGGGGCCATCTGCGGGACCAAGCAGCGATGCCCCCCTGGATGCCAAGGTCCTGGGGGCCAAGGACGCTGCCCGGCAGCAGCAGATGCGAGCCACGCCCAAGTTCGGGCCCTACCAGAAGGCACTGAGGGAGATCAGATACTCCTTGCTGCCTTTCGCCAATGAGTCGGGCACGTCTGCCAGTGCTGAAGTGAACCGACAGATGTTGCAGGAGCTGGTGAATGCCGGGTGCGACCAGGTGAGTTCTGGCTCCCGATAGCTGTGGCTGTGAAGGGGTCTCTCTACTTTGAAGTATTTGGGGGCTGAGACCCCCAGATCCCATAAGTAGATCCTTGAGCCGTTTGACACCTTCTTTCTGAAAGGATCTGTTTTAGCTGCTTTTCCTTTTCAAGCCAAATCCAGGTGTTTCTCGGGCTTGAGAGAGAGTACAGTGGGTGAGTCATTTGGCGTGCACATGGCTGATCTGGGTTGGATCCCTGGAATCCCATATGGTACTCCGAGCACCAACAGGAGTAATCCTGAGTGCAGCATCAGGAGTAACCTCTGTGTGTCACCAGGTGTGGTCCCCCCTTCAAAAAAAAAAAAAGCAAAAACAAATAAAACCAACAAATCTAGACTTTTCTGAGTATTGAAGTTTTTGGGCCTGTGCTTTCTGTTCTGAAAGTTAAGGATTTTTACAAGGTCCATCCTCTGGGGCTTATTGGGATGGACCTGCCAGGGCCAGAGACTGGTTTTCTTTATCTTGTCTTTGGTTATACATTTTTTGACTTAGTTAAGGGGAAAGTTGATAATTTCATGCAACTAGTCCTTGACTGTTTTTTTCTTATTAAAATAATTTACATGCACACACATGCTGTGAGAAGAGATGTAAGGAGATGAGAAAGATTTAGAAGCTTGAGCAATCAAAGTAGTGGCATACAGCCTAGCTCCCTGCGTGAGATGGAACATGCAGGAACGGAGATGGTAACAGGTACAGATAAACATGTCATGGCTATGATCCTAGAGTGACCCACATGCTGGATGCAATCCTGTTGACCTGCAGCACTTATTAAAGTCCATATTAATTACTTCTAGTGTCCAATAAATAAAACATCATTTGTGGGGTGCCCAGAGAGATAGCCCAGTGGGCTGAGTGCGTGCTGTGCTGCAGTTTCTGGTTTTTTTTTTTTTTTTTAATGTAGGAGTACTACTGGAGCGATAGCACAGCGGTAAGGCACGCAGCCAACATGGCGGACCCGAGTTTGATTCCTCTGCCCCTCTCAGAGAGCCCGGCAAGCTACCGAGAGTATCTTGCCCACACGGCAGAGCCTGGCAAGCTACCCGTGATGTATTTGATATGCCCAACACAGTAACAACAAAGTCTCCAATGGAGACGTTACTGGGCCTGCTCGAGCAAATCGATGAAAAACGGGAGGAGAGTGACAGTGACAGGAGTACTGCTATTTATTCAGCCACTAATTAGCAGATTGAATTGTGCATGAACTCCACCTTACTTTTTTTTTTTCATTTTTTTATAATTTTATTTATTGAATCACCGTGAGAGCAGTTACAAAGCTTTTAGGTCTAAGTCTTGGTCATACAATGAAACATCCATACCTTCACCAGTGCCCATTCTCCACCACCAAAAACCCCAGTATACCCCCATCCCATCATATGCAGTGTCTGGTTTTGATCCCCACTCCTTGAGCACTGACAGGAGCAGCCCCCAAGCACCGAGCCAGGGTAACCAGTGGGCCCTTCCAATAGAACAAATCAAAACTGCCATGTGTGTAATGCAGTACTGTAGCACTGTCCTCCCATTGTTCATCGATTTGCTCAAGCAGGCACCAGTAACGTCTCCATTGTGAGACTTGTTGTTACTGTCTTTGACATATTGAATACGCCATGGGGAGCTTGCCAGGCTCTGCTGTGCGGGTGGGATACTTTCGGTAGCTTGCCGCGCTCTCCGAGAGGGACAGAGGAATCAAACCCAGTTTGGCTGCGTGCAAGGCAAATGCCCTACCTGCTGTGCTATTGCTCCAGCCATTGTGTAATGTAATGTTGTTCGTTGATTTGCTCGAGCGGGCCCAGTAATGTCTCCATTGGAGACTTTGTTGTTACTGTGTCTGGCATATCGAATACGTCACGGGGAGCTTGCCAGGCTCTGCCGTGAGGGCGAGATACTCTCAGTAGCTTGCCGGGCTCTCCGAGAGGGGCGGAGGAATCGAACTCGGGTCGGCCATGTTGGCTGCGTGCAAGGCAAACGCCCTACCGCTGTGCTATCGCTCCAGCCCAATGTAATGTTACTAGCAAAAAATCAAATAGCCTAATGGAATAACTTTTCCTTTTTAGTTGAGGCAATACAGTAGTGTTAATGATCATGGTTTTGATCTGCAGAGTTACTGCACCTTTGCCACCACCAAAGTGTCTGAGCTCCTCTGGAATGACTTGATTGCAGGAGCGTTTTACAGCTTTTTTCGTTTTGTAGGCAGTGGCACCACCTGGATTAGGACCTGTACGGGAAGGCTGAGTGACAGCTTTTGCCCAAGCCAAACCCGTGCTTTATTACCATCTGCCTCCTTAAAAGTTTCAACTGTAGGAAAGTGGAAATAAGCTACTTATTTTGCTGCCTTGTGAGGGTTTATGCTCAGAGTAGCATGGCTTGCTCTGGATGGCTTGCTCAAGTCCTGTTGGTTGGTATCTTTCTGCTCCTGGCATAGCAGACATGTGAAAATACTAACAATACCCTGTTATTTCTGATAGTCTCAGCCCTCTTGTAGAGCATTACAACTCAAGACTTGACATTTCTCAGATGCTGTTTGTGAAACTTAATTGTGCGATTTTGTTGGTCACTTTCTCAAAGCTTTGGGACGCACTGGGATTAATTTGTGTGTGTGTAGCGAGGGTTGTTTTTATAGAGTTGTAGTAAGAGTTGTTTTTGTAAGGTAGGAGTAGGGTGAGTATGGTGTGTTAGCAGCAGGAACTGACAGCACAGTCCTGACTTTCCTCCACAGAACTCAGTAGCTTTGGAAGCAGGAAGAAGTTGGCGGAGCAGGGAAGTTGCAGACTTGCAACACAACAAAGTTTAGAACTTTCTCCTGTAAATCACTTGAAAACAAAAGAGGTAACCAGAGCCATGGTGTTCTTTGTAGGTGTTTCAGCTGTGATAAAAAGAAACAAGTCAAGCAAATAATCCAGAATCAGGTGGGCTCTCATTATAGTTAAATCTATTAGAGATAATTACAGTGCAGTACATAATGAAGCTGGTGCTGGTTTTCAATAGAGTAAAATAAGAATACAGTAAAAATTAGCATCATGGCATCAATAAAACTCCATCCACACTTAATTTATGTTAATTGCCAGCAGTGAGGACTTTGTTTATTATGTTTAATGCTCCTGAAATAGTTCAGTATGTATATAATACTACTTTGTGATTTAAAACATTTCCATCTTCATCTTTACCTCCCAACTCAGTTTTCTTTTGGTTTAGAAATTTGCTTTCAGAGTGTTTTGGTCAGAAAATCATTACTGGCATCTAAATAATGTGAAAGAAGAATGGGGCTATGCGTGTCATGGAAATAGGAGTCCCGGGATCCCAGTTGTGATGGGTGCAGGGCTTAGCTTTGTTGCAGCTCCATCTCCTAATTACATTGCCTTTTAACTTAGGTTTGGTTTTGTTCTCTTGTATTTTGAGTTTAACTGGCATTCTTATCCCCCTCTATTTAACAATGGCAATAGTTGCCATATTTTCCCAAGGTCTGACCTGTATTTAGTTATGATACATATTTTATTGATTGCAGGTTCACACACATTTCCCCCATCATTTTACTTGGACCATGACCTATTGCAAATAATTGTGTTTATAAATGAGCACATAATTTAAAAGGCTTGAGCAGTAGCACAGTGTGAAGGGCATTTGCCTTGCACCTGACCCAGGTTCAATTCCTTCGTCCGTCTCGGAGAGCCCGGCAAGCTACCAAGAATATCCTGTCCGTATGGTAAAGCCTGGCAAGCTCCCCATTACGTAGTCCATATGCCAAACACAGTAACAACAAATCTCACAGTGGAGATGCTACTGGGTCCGCTCGAGCAAATCAATGAACAACGGGAGGACTGTGCTACAGTGCTACATAACTTAAAGCCTTTTCTTTCTCATTTTTTTTTCATTTTTTAAAAACCTTATTAAACACCGTAGTTTATAAAGTTTTTATAATGCTATTGTTTCAGGCATTCAGTGTTCCTACACCAATCCCATCCCACCACCAGTGTGACCTTCCCTCTATCAATGTCCTCAGTTTCCCACCCAACCCTCACACCGACCCTCTGAGCAGCACAAAATAATTCAGTTTCCATTGCTTGTTACAACATAATGGAGAGTGGAATTAGCTATTTGTTAGTTCAGTTACATCTCGGTGGTGAAGTCATTGTCTGAAGATTTGCTGGGCCTTTCTGGTGCTGGTTTCGCCTTCTGTGTGATTGTTTCCTTCGCTGAGCACAGTGGGCTTCCGTGCACCTTCCCATCGGGTTTGCTGTGCTCCTGCTGGCTGTCCGGGCTGTGAGAGGTGAGGTGTCATGGCATATACGGTCGCGCCTTCCAGCAGCCGTGGAGGTAGGAGAGTCTGGCAGCTTGGCGCCTCTCTGAGATCAGTCATGAAGTTGTGGTGAAACTGTGGGGTGTGTGTGGGGGGCTGCTGGGCTTCAGCAGGGCAGGGAGTGGGCCACACCCCTCCCAGGAAGTCCCCAGAGCTCTTGGCCCTGAAACCTGTGTACCTGGAAGTTTGAGCAGTATGTTTCTTCTGAGATTCGTCTTTTTTGTATTTTTATAGAAATCATTCATAAAATTCACTTAATTTGCCTTATTTTGAATTTTGGGCTACAGCCAGGAGTGCTCAGGGTTTGCTTCTGGCTCTGTGTTCCGGGGATCATGTGTGGTGTCTGGGATCAGCCAGGAGCCCTTGTTCCACCTGGGGTTGACTGCGTGCAAGGCAAGTACCTTATCTCCTCAGCCCCTTCAAAAGCAATTGGTAAGCTCAGTGAATTTCACTGAGTGCATCACACCTATATAGCAAGACTGTATAGGTAGATTTTAAATAGAAATATTTTAATTGTAATATTTTAAAAATGAAAAAAAAATTGAAAGACCTAAGTACTTCTGTGTAATATAAGTATATATCAAATGACACAATGTTCACAATTGTTTTGCACATAAAATACTAGAGACAGGAAGGCTTCTATAGGAAAACCAACTGTATCTTTTCA